GAATATTATTTATGATTTTAGATATTCAACTTTTAAAGTTGACTTCTTGTGATATTATCATATATATAATTTAATTCATTTACAGAAGTTATACACTTATATATGTTTATGTAATAAACATTTCGGTATGACTGAATATTGAAATAAAACGTACTATATTAAAGATTAAGAATTTTTATATCACTGGAAAGGTGGTTTACCAATCGCTTATAGTAATTTTAAGTAAATTTGAAATGGATATTAGTTGAATTCAACTCAAAATCAAGGCAGACATTAAGTGTTAGAGTAGCTTTCTCTAACGTTAGAGGCATATTTAACGATTTTATTTTATATAATATGGGTACTTTCTTATTTACTTAATTCCTCCGAAGGATACATAGCCTATATAACAAATATAGTTGTTGTCTAGCTGGATGATTTTCTGACAACAACACATATGTAACTGATACATGCTGATATGTTTTATATAATAATAATTCTGTATTAAGTTTTTGAAGATGTACATACCTCATAACATACCTACACAAAAGCATGTGTATAAACAAAATCACAACTTTTCGAATTAAATTTAGAAAAGCAACAACAACTCATATTTCAAAATAAGGTGTATAACATAATTGTAAATCTTCTTGTTACTTAACATGTATTTATACTGGTTTATCCCCCACAGGACACCAGTCAAAAGAAGGCATATTAAAGTGAGTATGATATTATTAAATAATAAATTGATGACAGTGAAAACTAACGTGTTAATATTAGTTCTATTTGTAAATCTTGAACTTATAAAATATTTAGTTTATTATTTTAAGAAAAATATACACGTTTATAAGCATTTTTTTCTTTGAATGCGTGTGATAAGTAAAAAACTCGACTGATTTTGATTTGTTTTTGTAAACTCTTTGTACATTATAAATTTCAAACAATCAATAATTCATCATTTCTTACAGGAATGACACTATACCGAACAGATACGGAAAGAATGACCATAACTTTACAGATATGTCCTCTCAGAAGTGTCCGGATATCATCCCAGGTAAGAATGCTAAGATAAGGACTTAGAAAATTTATAACTCATGGGTATTTTTTTACGAAGTATAATATATTAGAGATAAAAAATGTGCATATAGTTTTAAATCAGCTAACTATAACTTGCGAAACAAAATAATTTAAAATTTATCGTAATTTTAAGTTGTTGACACGGCACACCATGTGATTTGAAAGTGTTTACAGCAAAAAGGTATATCTCAATAACTTAGCACCCCCCACCTAACCCCAGTAGCTCAATGCAAGTCTGAAGGCTTATAACGCTAAAAACCGGGCTTCAAACTCCATGGTGGGCACAGTACAAATAGCCCATTATATGACTTTGTGCTCAAAACTTACATAAGTAAATCATTAGATTATAAATGTTTGGAGTTCTCAGAATGTCTCATTTAATAATGAGAACACGAATCCTGGACGTAACTCACTGTTATAAATACGTATAAGTCTCTAGGTGCAGTTTTAGTAAATGATTTACGATCCATTTATCAAGAGGATTCCCGGCTTACACCTGATGGATGAAGTAGACGGTAAAGTATTGAGAAATGCTGACCATTCTGTTGATATAATATTAATTTCGATTCATGCACGGTTAAGCTGAAACCAAGTTCAACTATAGGTGGCCACGCAGCGTTCATCATATTCGGCTCTAAAAAAAAAAAAAAGGGAAATGTGTTCGCTTATCTGTCGTTATATATATATATGCATAATACAAGGCTTGCGTAACGCACTTGACAATTAGTATTATTTAATTTACTGGTTTAATTATTAAAAAAAAATAATGACATTCACGTTTTTATTTACCATGTTTCGTCGATATTAACTCTCAAAACAAAAAGTATGTTGTTTTTTCCCTTTTATCCTAAGCTTATTAGTTGTTGGTGTACTCGAGTTTGACTTGTATTAACTTAAGAATAGAGACAACTGTACTTTCAGGAGAAAATCAGCTTAGGAATTTCAGTAGATATGAAGACTTCAAGAAAGATTATGATTCACGAGTTGAAGACAACTGGCCAGATAAAGATACCATAGCACCTGATACTTGTAGATCTCAAGTTCTTGAAATGGTATATTTACATTTTACTTCAGAGTTATATTATAAATATACTCGTTGTTCTTGTTTGTTTTTACTTGAACTCATTACATCACCCATAACCTGAACAATGGGTTTCAGAAGAAATCATCACATTTTTCCCCTTAAATGATCCTTTAATATTTCTTATTGTTCTGATATTGTTTTGGTAATAATAATAATAACAATAATACTTAAGAATAATTAGTTAAAACTCATGTGTAAATAATAATGCTGGAAGTACGTTTCATTAACCCAATGTCGCCAACTTTAAACAAAGGCACCAAATTAACAGAAGTTTGGTCATATATAAAAACGTATTATATTTCAACAGAATTCTAAAACCCATACTCGAAGAACTTCCAAAAAGTAGAATAAATATTACTTAAATCTTCATTTTGTTATCTGATATTAAAACTTGAAGTTCGTAGCGATGTAATAAATTTATCAGCTCTGAATTAAAACGCCTCCAAACATTTATATCCTATATATTGTTACATCCTATATATTGTTACATCCTATATATTGTTATGTCCTATATATTGTTACATCCTATATATTGTTATATCATATATATTGTTATATCCTGTATATTGTTACATCCTATATATTGTTATATCCTATATATTGTTATATCTTATATATTGCTACATCCTATATATTGTTATATCCTATATATTGTTACATTCTATATATTGTTATATCTTATATATTGTTACATCCTATATATTGTTACATCCTATATATTGTTATATCCTATATATTGTTATATCTTATATATTGTTACATCCTATATATTGTTACATCCTATATATTGTTACATCCTATATATTGTTACATCCTATATATTGTTATATCTTATATATTGTTACATCCTATATATTGTTATATCTTATATATTGTTACATACTATATATTGTTACATCCTATATATTGTTATATCTTATATATTGTTACATCCTATATATTGTTATATCCTATATATTTTTTGTATGAATTCCTTTACACTTATTATCAATGATGATAACTCAAAGATTTTGTTTGTATGTTTGTTATTGAGCGCAATACTACACAAATGGGTTTTTGTGCAGTGAACAACCACGGGTATCGATACCTGAAGATCTTTTTTTTTCTATTTAACTGAGTTAAAACCTTTATGGTTTATTCTATCCTTGAATTACATTAATCTGAGATTGTTAAACTGATTCTCCTAATTTGTTAACCCTTGTCTAGCGGTTCAATTGAACAGATGCCATTTAGCTCCGACCGTAAGTAAATGTTTCTTAATAGTAAAATATACTCCCAAATAATTACCTAGGCCTTCAGTTATTCGCTAATATTTAATAATATTCTTCCTTTATTTATTTGCAGAGTAACATTACACTAGCTAACGCAGACGTCTTTCTTTATTACCTTTTCCATGACACTCTCACACGGACATAGTTATATTGATTCGTGACAGGCTCACATATCTTCTATAAAATCTGACCTATTTCCTCGAAACAATTCTAATGCAAAACAACTATAAAATACATATTTATCATTTCTTACTTTATATTTTCAATACTATTTCCTGAAACATAGTGAAACTGTTTCGTGATTTTGACAGTTTTATGTATAATTCCAAGAAACAATTTGAAATAAAAAACATTCTGGAAACGTGAATATATTGCCTTTTTGCTGTGACGTGGATCTCTTAACTTTATGTCCCACGGTAGGTCAACAGAACGTTTATAACGCTAGAATCCGGGGGATGGATTCAACTGGGGTAAACAGAGTCATATAGTCCATTGTGTAGTTTTGCGCTAGAAAACAACAACAGGAATAACTTAAACTTATTTGATAAGTTTATGTGTGCTATTTATTTTTATTTTCTTATGTATTATTTATTCGTTTATTTTATTTTTTTACGGCAAAGTAAGATCTGGAAATAGGAAAAATTATCACTTGCAGTCTCTTGGGCAAAGTAAGATTTGCAAGTAGGAAAAATTACCGCTTGCAGTCTCTTGGGCAAAGTAAGATTTGCAAGTAGGAAAAATTACCACTTGCAGTCTCTTGGGCAAAGTAAGATTTGCAAGTAGGAAAAATTACCACTTGCAGTCTCTTGGGCAAAGTAAGATTTGCAAGTAGGAAAAATTACCGCTTGCAGTCTCTTGGGCAAAGTAAGGTTTGCAAGTAGGAAAAATTACCACTTGCAGTCTCTTAGGCAAAGTAAAATCGGTAAATACAAACAATTTAATATGGATAAATATATATTATAAGGTAAGATAATAGAATATATAATAATTATAGTGCTCTTTTGTGCTTCTACGTAGGAGAAAAAAAGAAAGATTATTTATAAGAAAAACTAATTATTCTACACTAGGTCCCCCCTCGCCCTTCAAGCGTTTCGGTGGCAGAAGGACATCAGACATTGTTGAAAACACAGTTTTTTCGGTCACCTGTTGAGAAGCCAAGTTTGACAGAAAACATTTCCAGTCCAGTTTGTATCCATTTGACTACCAACAAAAGTGAAGCTGAATTAACTCTCGTAACGAGAGAAACGGATTGATAAAAGCTGTTCCCGAGACCCTGAAAATGTGCAGAATTTACCTGAATAATGTTTACAGCCTCATTTATATTGTTTGAATATTTTCGGGGACTCTGTCGTGAAACAGACATCGTTATTAAAACCCGAAACGGAGAAAACTGTAATTTCATTTATAATATGTTTCTTTAGTGTCATGCCGATGTTTCTGCAGTGAAATTAAAGAAATATCTGTAAAAATACGTGCATCTGTTTATATCTCAAAGTTGAGCGTAAAATATTAAAATGCTTTGTTGTCAGATTTTATATGTAGCTTAAAATAAATAATCTTTTATGTGAATATACTACTGGTCGTTTCTATTTAATATTTAGTTTCATTACAAATGTAACTAATAAGTAATATATATATCCTTGCAACATACCTCAGGTTTTTTTTTATTTTGATTTTTTTCAAATATTCTTGCTATTTTTTAAATACCAAATAAAATTGTATAATGCTAATTGGAATTATTTATGAAAGTATATATGGGTATTTTTTAGGAATTTGCAGTTCTTGTGAATTATTAGCGCTTATTATGTTGGAATTTGCGCTATAATTTAAACTTTTTAATTTACTTCAGATTTAATTTATCTTCATAGTATACTCGAAATATTTGTTGTATTTGTAAATCTGGTGATGATTTGTATAAATAAAATATTTTCTACAATGACAGTGAATATTTACTCATATTATAGCATTACATAAAGGTATCATCAATGTTCCATTTTTGTTACTGATAAACAAAATATGAAAATATTCCGTGCGTGTAAATACAACAAACAAATTAGAAGCGGAATAATACACTTAACACACTGACTTTTGTACCTGAAAACAAAAAAAAAATAAAAATGCTAAAGTTATAGCACGTTACATGATTTGTACAAGAGCAGCATTCATATACAAATCCGAATTAAAAAGAAAAATATGCAAATAAATATATTTCTCACTGGGATGTTTTTCAGTGCCAAGCCTCATAATGGGCTATTTGCACTCTGCCCACACCGGATTTTAGCGTTATTACTTCTATATTATCATTCCACTTATAAAACTATTTTGAACCTTATCAGTTAAATAAAAAAAAAGAGAAAATAAGTTTATTAACAGTGATAGAATACAATGAGTATAATCTTTAGTGTTAGAGATTGTATTTTAATTAATTATCAAGAAATAATTATAATAATATATGTGAACTGCTCCTTCAGCATTCTCTATCGAAATTAACTATTATTTTTTATAAAACTGAATGTAATATATTCATTCATATATATATACTTATATGTAAGTTCGTATTAGCATAGAAATATTTTATACAAATACATGGCAGGTTTAAACTCAATAAAATATGAAATATAACCACACTTATCCAATATTACAGTCTTATCAAGTATATTAATTAACGTTTTTTAAAGTTCATTATTATTAGCCACTTGTGGGATCGATCGCTGTGTTCTATAGCTTAGAGAAGAAGCTGCTTGAGTCATAACAAAGATATTAATTATTGCTAGATTTCTTTTTATGTTTCAGCAATACAAAATAGTAGAATTGTTAGGTATAAGTCGAGTAATAGCAAAGTCCAAGTAATACAGCTTTACAATGAGTATCTTTA